ACATTTTAATTTTTAAAATAAGTGAGACCAAACGAGTCTCACATTTTTAAATAGTTTAGATGATTTAATACAATACTACAAGCAATACATTTATCCCGAAGAATAAATATATTACTTGTAATAGGGATTTAATCATCTAGACTAAACAATTTGTGACATCCGTTTGGTCTGCGAAATATTTTTATAAAAAGGCCAACAAGTTCCCCTATTTAACATAAAAAAATTAAATAGGGTTTATTTTATCTGGGTTCCTGGTTCCCTATAGAGGCAAGCCCCTATAGTTAATTATATCTTAAATCACTGGAAGTCATTTAAGAAAACTCTCGATTAAGATCAGGTGGTTTTGTTTTCAAGATTTCAAAGTTTATGTTTTCACGATTGGACATGGGAAAATCAAATGAGAATGGTTTAAAATGTGAACAATCATTTAAGGAATCCAAATAGAAAAAAAGTAGGGGATATCACAGATCTAGAGAAACCCCCAGTGATGTCTCAACTATCCTAATATTCGACTTTATATCTTTGAAGTGATGGTTATTTGATATTTCAATCCTGCAAATTATTTAAGATTTAGAACTTATGTTTGCACAACATCAGACTGTGCAAATAGCCTAAAAGATAGGAGGATTTACACCGTACCGTACGGTAACCTCGGAATCCTAAAACGTTAGGACTTGTAATTGTACAACAAAGTTGTACAAAAAGCCTAAAGAATGATCATATGGGTTGTTATTTAAACTAAAGAAAGTGTATAGTGTTGTGAAAATATTCATGTGATGTGAAGATGTTTTGCTGCTGCATATCCACCTGGAAATTGTTCCTCGTCGCGCTGCCCACGATGTTCGCTCCAAACTCCTCGTAGTAGCACCTCCTGGTTTAGTTTTAGTTTTGAACATGTTCTTAACCACTATATTATTCTAATCTAAGGCATAGTGTATCACAGTAACTAAGCATGCAGTATAACAGAAAAGAACAGTATAGTGTACAGTAGAAAGAAAAGACAGTATAGCATGCTGAGAAAAATAGTATAATAAACTATGAAAACAATATAACATGCTGCGAAAATAAAATGTTGTAATATAAATTAAACCTGTACACCTGGTCGGTCCATTGCTCCTTTAAGTTTAGATATTATGCGCCGTGTAAAAGAGCAAAGTATAACCTGAAAAGACTTAATAGAAACAGGTAAATCGCAGAGAAAAGATAAATAAATAGAATGAAATACCATACCACATATAAAGGACCAAGAATAGGAAGTTTATATGTGATATTGGAATGTCCCCAATTGATATTGAAATGTCCCCAATTGCCAGGAGGATTTGAATGTAGGACAGTTTTGGTCAAATTAAGGTAAAAATTTCATTATTTGATTTAATTAAATCAGTCATGAGTCACAATCTAGTGCAACCTCGTGCCTAGTGTCCTACTTATCTCCTAAACTGAGGTTAGATGTTTGGACTTCTTAGGGTTATTTGAAAATTAGGATGGTAAACTCTCTTAAGTTGTGCTTCTAAAATTTAGGATGTCTGCACTTTAGGTTAACTTGAAGTATCTTAAAGTGTCTAATCTCAATTAAGTGTCTTTCCACTAACCCTCAAACATCTATAGACCCAGCTTACCTCGCTACCAGACTCCTAAAACCCAGGGGTAAATTCATAGTTTTGGCAAAAGAGTTGTGAGTTGTGCTTCAATCCTAGTTAGAGGAATTGGATTTTAAATTGATTCAAATCTTAAGGGATCTAAGTGCAAGTCCACTAATCTCTCAATCGTTATCTAAATTCTCATTTCTTCCGATTCCAACTAGCCTTCCAATTTGCAATTTATTTTTTTCTTCTTATGTAAAAGAAAAGGTGGATTGTTCGCTACCCTGTCTCCTCTTTAGATTGTATCATCCCAAAAATTCAAATTTCAATTTCAGTTTTCTCTCATCTTCTCTTTCTCCCCTATTGCCCTTGAGATTATAAATCATTTTTGAATTTAATTAAATCGGAAATTCTCATTTTTAACTTGACCGTTAAAAAAAAGAAAAATAAAACGAACGAAAAAGTAGACCGATCCATTTTTAAAACCAAATTAAATCAATAAAAATAAATGTTTCTTCGGTCTAAGACATTTAAATTTGTTAAAAAGAAAATGATCGGATCAATCCCGAAAAGGATATCCTTTCCAGGTAGCGCTTTCATGGATTTTCAAACCCAACATGACTTCAATTTATATCAAACCCAAATGAAACTTCAAAAAGTCTTCTTCATTTCATAAAATATAGGATAACAATTCATAGGGAACATCTTTCTATACCTCTAAAAATCACACCATTATCAAAGTCCTTCAACTTCAATTTTAATCAAAAGCTC